CTGCAGACCAGAATGGAAGGTGTTTGATTCCTGTCCCCCACCCCACCCCACCCCACCCCGCAACACGTTTTTGGGCTTTGCTGGTTGTCTCATGGGGCTGGAAAGGAGACAGATTCAAAGGCAAGAAGAATGAGGAAATATAAAGTATCCATTATGGAAATATCTGCAAGTAGCACACAATTATAGGACATTCATATTATTAATGAGAGTACATAAAAGGAATTTATTATGTGTGGGGTCACTCAGTAGACATAAACTGAAAAATTAACTAGCAATTTGGGGCATCTGATTTGAAGTGCTTGAAAGAAGCCAGGATCTTCAGAAAGCACAAAGTACTGATCCTCTGAAAAAGCAGTTTTCAGTATTAGCAGTGCCTAAATTCAGCATCCAAAAATGAAGATATTTTAAATGACTACTTGCTTTTAAAATCTTGGTTAACGAGCTTATCTGCTTACTATTTGTCTATTTTAATAAATAAATGTAGGTCTTAGAAATAACAAAATGTTGTTTTCAGAATCACCTCCAAGTGGAGAATTGTATCAAGTGGGATAATAAAAATATTTGCAGAACAAATATTTTATAACATTATACCAGGAAAAGCATAAATTTAATAATGTCATAGATTTCATAGACATTAGGGCTGGAAGGGACCTCGGAAGATCATGGAGTCCAGCCCCCGACCCAAAGGGCAGGAAGTCAGCTGGGGTCATAGGATCCCAGCAAGATAAGCATCAAATTTACTCTTGAAGGTGTTCAATGTAGGTGCTTGAACCACTTCCAATGGCAGGCTGTTCCAGACCTTGGGGGCTCAGACAGTAAAGAAATTCTTCCTTATGTCCAGCCTCAAACAGTCTTGCAGTAGTTTATAACTGTTCGACTTCATCATCCCTTGGGGCGCTCTGGTGAACAAACGTTCCCCCAGATACTGGTGGTCACCCCTGATAAACTTATAGGTGGCCATCAGATCACCCCTGGGCCTTAAATAATGATTAAGTGTACCTCCCTCCCTTAGTACAAAGTAAAGAATCTAATTGCAAGATGATCTGGAGAGCTTGGAAAAGCTAATTTCCAAATAACAAAATCAGATTAATTCCTAAAACGTACAATCAAAATATCTATTAACATTCAGTAACCTCCAGTTAATATTTTTGTAAATATTCTTCATACAAATTCAATTTAGAAACATACACAGACTGCATTTACTAACAGATTTCTATTTCAAGGGAAAGATCGCTGCAGAAAATACAAAGTTTGGTGGCTTCAATATCATCACAACCTACCACGGGCTCAATCATCCACTCCTTAAGACAAAAGAAGAAAGGAACACAATTTGTTCAGCCCCGCAGGGAAGGCAAGAGTGGCTTATATTACCCTATCCCCATGACTTTCTTTATCTGACCAATACAACATTCTTCATGTCCTTCAAAGGGAAATCTGTCCTGCCTTCCTCAACTATTGACAAAATTGGAAAAAACAGGGTCTTGCAGATCAGAAAAGGAAAACAGGATGAATTCTAGTGGCCTTCTCCATTTCCTTCACCAATATGATATAATCAGAATTGGGTTCACATTTCGTGCTTTGGTGGTATTTGTTGACAGCCGGTAAATTTTTCTAGTCATATACATGAAACATAACAGACATCATCCATAACAAGACTTTTCCACCTCTCACAAACCCTCTAGTTCCACAGCCTGCCAAAGGTAGTGGCATATGAGAGGAATAATCTTCTATAACCAAGAAAGATTACAAAATTTAAATGGTATTTTATCAGTTAACAGACACACAACTGATATGAAGTCCTAAGCAGGAGAGAAAAACATTCCTTACCAGTCACATGATCTGTCACACTCCTATCCCTGCTGGTAATAAGAACTTTACAATGATTATCAAAAGCCGCTAATGTCTGAGAATCCCAAATGTCATCCAGGACCAAGAGAGACCTAATACAAGAAGAAATATTACACATTTGGAGTCAAGTAGTAACTTTTCAAAAAAAGATTTTTTTTAAATCATTGCATTTTTAAAAATGCTACCTTTTAAGAAGCACTAAATGCTGCAATTTGGGAAGCAAGTTCATATTCTGAATTTCTCTCTCAGAAAAATATTTAAATGCTTTACTTTTCGCTCTTTTGCCAATATAGAATACATTCATTATTGCTTATAATTCATAAGAGCATATCTTTGTCAATGCTGAGCCATGAGTAGTTTGTTTTTCCCTCCCTCTCAATATCCATCAGGAAATTAGAGGTATTTGTTAACATGAAAAAAAAAAAGAAATGCTTTCTTACGTATAGGTTAAATATCTGCATAGATGAGAAGAGCTCAGTTGGCCAAGCACAGAATAAACATAAGTAGAAATTAAATTCCTGTTTACTTAGCTTGCTACATGTCTGTTTTTGAAAATCTTGCGCAGTGGGGGGAGGGAGAAGCTGTGTAGGAATAACACTTTTGCCTTATAATTTTAGTCCGATATCACATCTCTATTTGCAAAAGTAACATTTTTCAAGGACTATCCATTGACATATTTCTGAAGCAGAGCTACAGTTATGTTTGAGGACTACACTATGCTAATAGGTATCTCAACAAACCAAATGAAAAAAAGTCTTGCTTGATGCAATGCATACATAACCAAAGCAGCACTGGTCAAAGATGGTTGCCAAAAAACAAACAATCTCCTTTGCTTAAAAGAAGACCAGAGCAAATAAGTCCAGAAGACAGAACAAAACCTCATATATTTGCATTTTGAACACTTCAGGTGAAAATAATAATAATAATAAAAGCTTTTAAGTTGCCAGCTGAATTGTATTACACTGTTTACTTTTGTTTCTGATTCCTTATGGGAGGAATTTTCAACTGCTCTCAATGAAGTTAAGAGAAGTTTCATATTTACTTCAACTGGAACAGAGTTAAGCCAATGAACATTTCTGAAAATTCCTCACTTTACATACAAATGCATGCACTGTATAGCTAAAAGGTTCAAAGTTGCTGAAGGGGGTCTTATTTTTAAAATTGGGCACCCAGACACATTAGATCACTGAAAGTCTTTTTATATGGGATAAGTTAATGATGAATTTATGTTAAAGTTACTACTGTCATCAGGAACATCCATTAAGTACTGTCACAGCCATAACTAATTCATCCTATGATATCTTCATGTGAAAAAGTCTTATCCAATAGATGTAACTATCTGCTCTCACATGTGAACAATCAGAGACTTTACAGGTAACTTAGGATTCTCCCAACTTCTAGAGATGGTGAGCCACTCTCCACGCTTAGAAGAGTTTCCTGATACCCTGTTAAGACCACTAACTCTCACACTAGTTGATTACAGCCATATCAGAAGTAATTCTGAAATTGCATAAAGTGAACTTCACTAACAAGAAACTGAATGTTAACTTATAACCACAACCCAACATGATAAATAAGGCCGTCCTCCTGAGAAAAGGTTTGCAGGAACTGCTGTCTCATTCTTGATCAGGAAGCAACAGAAGTCCTTTACTTGGTCAGTAAGCCAAAACCCAAATGAGAAAAAAAAAAACACACACTAGAAAAAAAATCTAAAACTGGGTCCCTTTCAGAGGCAACTGCACTCTAATGAATTCCTGGCTGAGGAAGTCAACCATAGCATCAAGTCATAGGCAACACTTATTAATTTGTCTTGCTATGGCTCTGTCAGTACTCCCAAGTCAACAGCATACTGGATTCAGGAAACGTTGATCAGTCAAAAACACAGTTCCAGAGCGGAGTCTGAAATTCCCCAAGTTGAATCTACAAATGCCTGATGGCTCCCAATTGTTCTTTTTGTTTCAGACTTCAACAAGTGAACTAAATATACGTGATAAACAGTTTGAGCACAAGAAACAGAACAGCAGGGTAAATTAGTCTTGATGAAACTTTGCACCAATAGAGCTATCCTGCTTTCAGTCCCACCTTGAGTTCCAGCGTCTCCAGAGTACTGCGTTTAGCTGTCTAAACATACCATAAAAGGAAACAACCCCAGCCTCCTCCTCTGTGCTCAGGAAAAACAATTTCCACATTTTGCAGTGATTTCTCTTCCCTGCCATGCACAAACTGAATATTCAAATGCCACCTCTGCTGAGAAGAGATGAGTTTGATTAAGCGAACAAAGATGTCAGAAAGGTAGCCTAAGTGTGCCGTGACAGACAAGTAGCTGAACCTGTAAGCAAGTGAGGACTGCTGATCTTTCAGGAAAATCTGCACTTCAACTTAGAGTCAGGTTAGCATTTTACATTTGAAACCTGACTCTCTTTTAAAGAAAAAGAAATGTTACTGTACCACAAGGCAATACAAAAAGTAAAAAAATTCATAGGATAGGTCTTAAGGGAGCTCACTATAATGGTTTCACAGATGGCTTCGCACTGATTTTCTAGCATTTTTTTTGGCAACAAAAACATTGCCAACATTTAAAAAAAATCAGGAAAAGAAACACATTTTGGACCTTTGTGAACAAGCATCCATTCTTTTGTGTGACAATCACCTGTAAGCAGGAATTGGCAACCTATGGCCCCCAAGCCAGAACTGGCCCTCATGAAGACTGGATGTCTTTTACTGGTGGCCTGTATTTTACTGAGGGCATACACCAGCTGTTTGATCCAATCTGTGTTTTGCTAATGCCTCTGGTCACTCCAGCCAACTACATGAAGGGCTATTCTTCCTCACTGTAGCCTCTGCTCACTATTGCTGGAAGTTTCCAACTCTTGAAGTAACCCTTGCCAAAACAGAATCAGAGAACCATAGAAAATTAGGGTTGGAAGGGACTTGGAGGACACCTAGCCCATCCCCCTGCTTAAAGCAGAACCATCCCCAACTAGATCAACCCAGCCAAGGCTTTGTCTAACCAGGTCTTAAATCCTCCAAGGATGGAGCTTCCACCTCTCTGAGTAACCTGCTCCAGTGCTTTACTAACCTACTAGTGAGAAAGTTTTTCCTAATGTCTAACCTAAACTTTCCTTGCTGCAGCTTGGAAACTATTACTCCTTGCTCTGTCTTCTGCCACCACTGAGAACAGTCGAGCTCCATCCTCTATGGAACCCCCCTTCAGGAAGCTGAAAGCTGCTATTAAATCCCCCCTCAGTCTTCTCTTCTCTAGACTAGTGGTTCCTAATCTATGACACAAGTACCACCAGTGGTGCGCAGACAACCTGTCAGTGGTACAAGTTAACAGATTTATTATAATTACTTTATATGACAAAAAACTGTGGGTGGTACTTAAGGTTGAACTGAAAAAAATGCTGGTGGTACTTAAAGTTGTATCATTGTAAATTGGTGGTGCACAATCTGTCAGAGTTTGGGAACAACTTCTCTAGACTAAATAAGCCCAGTTCCCTCAGCCTCTCTTTAGAAGTCATTTGCCCCAGCCCCCTAAATATTTTTGTTGCCCTCCACTGGAATTTCTCCAATTTGTCCACATCCTTTCTGTAGTGGGGAGCCCAAAACTAGACAGTACTCCAGATGCGGCCTCACCAGTGCTGAAGAGGAATAATCACTTCCCTTGATCTGCTGGCAACACTCCAACCAATGCAGCCCAGTATGCTGTTAGCCTTCTTGGCCACAAGGTCACACTGATGGATCATATCCAGCTTATTGTCCACTGTAACCCCCAGGTCCTTTTCTGCAGAGCTGCTGCTAAGCCAGTCAGCCCCAGCTTGTACCGGTGCATAGGACTATTCCATTCTAAGTGCAGGACTTTGCAATTATCCTTATTGAACCTCATGAGATTTCTTTTGGTTCAGTCTTCCAATTTGTCTAGGTCTCTCTGAACCCTCCAGTGTATCTGCTAGTCCCCCTCCCCCCAGTTTGTGCCTTCTGCAAACTTGCTGAGGGTGCATTCTTTCAGGTCATTAATGAAGATATTAAACAAAACTGGCGCTAGGTTGACCCTTGGGGCACTCCACTTGATCTCAGCTGCCAACTAGACCTCAAGCCATTGACTACTACCCTCTGAGTCTGATGATCCAGCCAGCTTTCTATCTACCTTACAATCCATTCATCCAACCTATACTTGCCTGAGAAATCATTGTGGGATACCATATTAAAATCCTTGCTAAAGTCAAGGTATACTACATGCACTGGTCTCTTTGCACAGAATCAGACATCTCTTCATAGTAGGTAATCAGGTTGGTCAGGCATGACTTGCCCCTGGTGAATCCATGCTGACTGTTCCTAATCACCTTCTCCTCCAAGTGCTTAGAAATGGATTCCTTGGGGACCTGCTCCATGACCTTTCCAATGATTACAGTGAGACTGACCAGTCTGTAGTTCCGTGGATCCTCCTTTTCCTCTTTCTTAACTATGGACACTATATTTGCCCTTTTCCATCTTCCGGGGCCTCTTCTGATCACCATGAGTTTTCAAAGATGACCAGTGGCTGTGCAATCACATTAGCCAACTCCCTCAGCACCCTCAGGTACATCCCTTCCATGGACTTGCACACATCCAGCTTCTCTAAATAGTCCCTAACCTGTTCTTTTGCCACAGTTGGCTGCTCACCTCCTCCCCAAATTGTGTTGCCAGGTGCAGTCGTCTGGGAGATCACCTTGCCTGTGAAGACTGAAGTGAAAAGGGCACTGAGTACTTCATCTTTTTCTGCACCTGCCGTCACTAGGTTGACTCCCCAATTAGTAAGGGACACACTTTCCCCAATCCTCCTCTTGTTACTGATATACTTGTAGAAACCCTTCTTGTTACCCTTCATGTCCCTTCTTAGCTGCTACTCCAACTGTGCTTTGGCCTTTCTGATTTCATCCCTGAATGTCTGAGCAATACTCTTATACTCCTCCCTAGCTGTCTGTCCAAGTTTTCACTTCTTATAAGCTTCCTTTTTGTGATTTAGCTCACTGAAGAGTTCCCTACTAGGCCAAACTGGACTTCTGCTATACTTGCTAGTCTTCCTACACATTGGGATAGTTTGTTTCTGTACCCTCAGTAAGATTTCTTTGAAGTACAGCCAGCTCTCCTGGACTCCTCTCTCCCTCAGACTGGCTTCCTAGGGGATCCTGCCCATGAGTTCCCCGAGTGAGTCAAAGTCTACTTTTTTCCAAGTCCAAGGTCCTTATTCTGCTGCTCTCCATTCTTCCTTTCCACAGGATCCTGAACTCAATCATTTTGTGGTTGCTGCTGCTCAAGTTGCCATCTACTACTACATTTCCTACCAATTCTTCCCTGTTTGTGAGCAGCAAATCAAAAAGAGCACAGTCTCTAGTTGGTCACTCCAGCACTTGCACCAGGAAGTTGTCCTCAACACTCTCCAAAAACTTCCTGGATTGCCTGCGCACAGCTGTATTGCCCTCCAGCAGGTATCAGGGTGGTTGAAGTCCCTCATGAGAACCAGGGCCTGGGATCGGGAAACTTCTGCTAGCTGCTTGAAGAAAGCCTCATCCACCACTTCCTCTTGGTCTGGTGGTCTATAGTAGACACCCACCACAACATCACCTTTGTTGCTCTCCCCTCTGACCCTAACCCAGAGACTTTCAACAGGCCAATCTCATTTCTTACTGGGGTCGTCAGCAAGCATACAACTCTTTTACATGAAGTGCAAATCTTCCTCCTCTTCTCCCTTGCCTGATCTTCCTGAACAGTTTATACCCATCCATAATAGTGCTCCAGTCATGCCAGCTAGCCCAGCAAGTCTTTGTTGTTCCAATCACATCACAGTCCTGTGACTGTGCAAGGACTTCCAAACCTTCCTGCTCGTTTCCCAGGCTCTATGCATTTGTGTACAGGCACCTTAGACAACTAGCTGATTGCCCTGATTGCTCAGGAAGAATGAGAATGCCTTCCTTGTTGGCCCCTCCTGCTTGCGCTTCCTCCAGGTCACCCACTTCCCCCAGGTCTTTGGTCTGCATTCCCCAGTGAACCTAGTTTAAAGGCCCCCTCACTAGGTTAGTAAGCTTGTCTGTGAAGATGCTCTTCCTAGTCTTCATCACGTGGATCCCGTCTCTTCCTGGCAATCCTTGGAACAGCATCCCATGGTCAAAGAACCCAAAGCCCTGCCCATGACTCCAGCTGCGCAGGCATCCATTGAGATGCCAGATGTGCCTGCTTCTGCCTAGGCCTTTTCCCTTGCAGGATCCAGGAGAACACCACCTGAGCCCCCGTCCCCTTCAGCCTTGCACCCAGAGTCCTGTAGTCACTTTTGATCTGCTCAGGTTCTCCCCTAGCAGTATCACTGGTGCACACATGGATGAGCATAGGGTAGAAGGCTAGATGAGTCTCAGTAATCCCTCCATGACGTCTCAGATCTGGGCTCCAGGCAAGCAGCATACCTCCCAAAAGCACAGGTCAGGCCAGCAGATAGGTGTATCTGTCCCCCTCAGAAGGGAGTCTCCAGTCACCACCACCCATTGCTTCTTCTTGGTGGTGGTGATCTCGATCCTTCCCACCTTGGGGAGGCATCAGCCATGCTCATTCACCAGTGGAACATGCTTCTCCGCCTCTGTTGTTAGGGCTCCATATCTGTTCTGCAGGTGAACTGCTGCAAATGTATATGAAGATTTCTGCTTGCTGCCAGAGGTCACAAGCTTCCAGCTTCTACCTTCCTCAGAGTCTATGTTCTTTCCCTTCTCTAGCGCTGCTGTTGGCAGTTCTTCCTCCAGCACTGAATCAATGAACTCCTCATTGTGGGGGATCCTTCAGTCTCACTACCTACACAACACTGTTGCTTCAAGTTGCTGATGAAAAGCCACAATAGGTTTCATGTACGAGTCCTGCCTCCCACTCCCATCCCAAAACACAAGTGGAAGAATCTGTCATATTTCTGCACAATTTTATGAATATAACCTGCCAGCTCACACAATCCAGGATTTGGGAAATCTTGATACAGACCTCTCCATTTGACACTCCTATGAAAAAAGCTTCAACAAGTCAGTTACTTTAAAAAAAATCTTTCCAGTTTTACCTCAAAAAGGATGTTCTCACTGTCTAAAGCATTACTGAAAGGGAAATAAAAGGTTATATTGAAAAGAATGTATATGTGACAGCAATTTTAGCTCATTTGCCAGGGCCTATACACAAGACACAGAAAAGCTAATTTTTGATCTTGATCTACTATATTTACTTAACTAGAACAAGGTTATAAGATGACTCCCAATAATTAGATTCCATATATGGAAAACTTATAAATTTGTTATAGTTTTCCAGATACAGAATCTAATTATTGGAGGTCTGCCTTGAATTTGTCAACCTCCCACTGCTACATGAGGAGAAAAGATCTGGGGGGGTCAGGTAGCCCTTTGGTCTCTTCTTCCCTCTAACTTTTTATCCTGGTAGCCCCTTCCCCTTCTCCTTACTGCCAGTCCCTGCTCTCCCTGAGCACATAGAAGTGAGGAGCATATTTGAAAACAATAACCTTGAAATTAAACATGGCTGTAGCAATTTGCATACAGTACCCATGCACTTAGTTTATCTAGAACTGATGCATGCTTTTTTTTTTTTTTTTAAACTGCTGCAAGTTTTAGCACAGGTACTCCATAAACACACTTAAGCAGCATTCTGGCACCTGCTTATATAAAGTACAAACTTTGTATAGTCTTAGTCCAAAGCCAAATGCTCATGATTTACCACACAGGTCATTGGGCTGGGCACCAGCAGTGTCAACAGCATTTCAAGCCATGGCCACCCCACAGCTCAGCACTGCTCAGTATGTGCGTGTACTCCGGATGCCTCTGGCAATGGATCCACGTGCTAATTAGTCCCCACTCATGACTAGAATCCAGTGTTCTTGTTACGAGCCCTGGGATGCTCCAAAAATTTAGATGCAGATGAGGCGCAAGACAACCTGGTCCTGCTTCATTCACCTCGTGGAAGGTGGATTCATACTAAGCATATGTGCCAAGCTGAAAGAGGAGGCGACATAGGGATTCTGGGTGAACTGTATGAAATGTCACAGCTTCCCATGACTTGAAAAAGCAGTGAAAGGGAATGAGCTTAATGGGCACTACCATAATCTTATTCAAATTGACTTCACTAACCTATTCTTGTGGTATGGTCCTATCAGTATGTTTGGCCAATGTGGGCCATGTTGTTTCATAGTCATGCTCAGTGTTGAATGAATTTAATCAAGTTCATAGTTGGTTTTCATTACTGAGCACATGATGCTTTTGGCAACAGACAATGTATTTAGTGATATTTCCTCATGTGCAATTATAAGATAAGAGGCTTTTTCCTGCCCTCCATGCCACTGGGGAAGAAAAAACCTTGTCTTGTATTCACGTACATATGGTAGATGCTTGTTACATACAAAGAATAACATTTAACCTCACTGATAGTACCTGGGGTATTTATGTAGTATCAGCAGACGAAGACGGTCTTTAGCCTCTCCAATATTAAGCGGTGGCCTTTGTGCATAAGTGAAGTCCAGATCTAATCTACTACAAAGATTCTGAAGTTTCATTAGAAGCCCTGCATCGTCCTGTTTTCCAACAGAAATCCAATGTACTCCTCCGGGAAAGCACTCTAACAAAGACAGTACAAAATAAAATATAAGCTTAAATATGTTAGCTGCTGCTGATCATGTACTTGATCTGAGCCTTCAAGAAGCCAAGCCAAACTACACCAAGCAATTAAAAAAAACATCAGGCTAGCTAAAATGGAAGCAAGTTTTAAGATTTGATAAGCAGTTTTCAAAGATGAGGCAAATGTTTCACTCACATTCCATAAATATGTCTCCATAACTCTAACCCCAAATGAGTGTTTACATTATCCAAGTAAGACTGCACTGTATGCATCTTCAAAATTGAAAATCCTATCCAATGTGAACAATTGCCACTGGAAAGCAGGGCAGTATTCAAACATTCTAAAGCAGGAGTGCCCAAATCCCCACCCCCAGC